TCCATCTTTCAGGCTCACTGTGTCCGTCCACGTGTGTGTGTGTGTGTGTGTGTGTGTGTGTGTGTGTGTGTGTGTCTCTCTCTCTCTCTGTGTCCCTGTCTATCTCTGTCTCTGTCTCTTCATTTATTTTTCATGATTTCCTTTTGTTGGTTATCTGTTTGAATGACTGTCCCTCCCAAGGAAGATAAGACAGCCCTGGCGATTTTGTAATCAGTCCCGTGTGGCATGAGCTCTGGCAGGTAACAGCCCCTGAGGAGCCGTAGGGCTGCAGGTGAGCAGTGAGCAGCCCCTGAGGCCTCAGCCACTCCGCAGCGCGACTGACAGCACAGGCCCTGTGCCGGTCACCACAGCTCAGCACCCGCAACGCCTGCTCTGCCTCTCTCCTCCAGTCCCCTTGGGGCCAAAGACCCCTCGAGGGGTGCTCAGAAGGGCATTTTAACTGAGTGCCTATGACCACAAAGGTTCTCCTTTCTGGCTAGAATCTCCTTCCCCTTCTGGGTGGAATTTTCCTTTGGAGAAACAGATGTAAGCCCACAGGGTTGGGGTGGGGGGGCTGCCTTTCCAGCCTCCGCCCTCGCATCTTTGGGGTGACCTTTGGGGCGCCCCGCCCTTTTCTGTCCTTGTCTCCGCCTTCCTCACAGCCCCCACCTTCCCCTTCCCAGCTTTTCTCTTCCTCAAACCCACTTCCATCCCTCCATTCGTGCCGGACCGAAATGGAAACTGGGCTTAAGAATTGCTTTTGACCATCGGCATTTCCTTCATTTGCCCTCAGATCTGTGGCACCGACCCTCCACTGTGTCTCCCAGTCGACACGTGCTTACTTAGACCTTGCGTCTCCCTCCCAAGAAAGCACCTCATTCAACCTTAGAGAGCTAGCAGTTTACAACAGATTTTACTTTGACCTTAAAATTCCTTCCCTGCAGCCGCCCCTGGTGGCTCTGACCGTCAGCACCTCCCAACCCCTCCACGTCCGCGGGGCCACACCTCAGTTCCCAGGACGTGCGTTTCTCCCCGTTGGAAGAGGGGCTAGAAGGATAATGAGAACCCCCACCCCTGAACGTATGCCGGCTGGCTCCTGGCCACGAAAGCAGCGTCAGAAGTCTCTAGAAGCCCTTGCCTCCCGTATCCCCAGCTCTCTCTGTGTGTACAAGCCTCCTATTTATCCTCCCACCCTAGGCTAACTGGGGTCTCACCAACAAAGCCCCAACCCCCCAGACCCCCGCTATGACACCATGACATGCTCACAGCTGAACTACCGTCTTGTCTTGCAGATCAAATGGAGATGAGATTAGAGATAGTTGGAGTAGAGAAGCAGAGCTGGTGCGGGGGATGGCAGGCGGAGGGGGGATGGCAGGCGGACCCAGATCTTCAGGTGTTTTGGCATGGAATTGATACCAGATCCACTCCCTGAGTTCTGGACGAGAGTTTTTTGTTTTCTGTCTTTTCAAGCAAGGCTTCTGTAGGCGGGCAGCCAGTAAAAGGTCCACACATTCCCGTGCTGTCGCTTTTGACTCGGTTCAGAGAGATGTGGAATTTCAGTGACCGATACATAACCGTTGTCTCAGTGGCAGCCACTGGGATTGGGCCCTTGTCCGAGGGCCTGCTTGGACTCAGCCTTCCCTGCAGGGAGGCAGGTCATCTGCACCTTTCCAAGCCAGCCTGGCCAGGAGACGCAGCCACGGCACACAGCTGCTCTTAAGTGCCCTCGAACCACCGATCACAGAGAACATCCTGGAAGATAGTCAGGATATCGAAATCTACCGCCTGGCCCTACCTCCCCGCTAACCCTTGCCTCCCAGCTATGCAAGAAGGGGGGCCGAGAAAGAGGAGAAGGGGGGAGAGGAAGCCGCCCCTTTCTTATGTGGCCAAGAGCGATTTCCAACAAGCTCTCCGTTCTCCAGAGAGACAATGGCATGTAAACTGGGAAACGCCCCACCGATTCTGGCGTCCGTCCGTCCTGGAGAACCCTCTTTGCAGGCTCTGGTGCCCCTCAGTCCCCTCGGCTCCCACGGGTGGTCTAGAGAGAGCGCCCCAGTGAAAAGGAACAGTGAGGACATTCCGGAAACAAAGGCTTCATCCGCTGAGGTGGTGTTTCTCGTCTGGTCCTGAACTTGGGTCAGGAAGGCAGTTTTCCAGAGCCACCCCAGGTCTTTGCTGGTTGAACCATACAAGGTGACCCACGTACATGTGCCCAGGTGAGGGCAGGGTCTGTCCCCGCTGCTGGCCTGGGGCCTCTCTGACAGTGTGGCTCTGCCCCACGTGGGGAGGAATAATCTCGCTTCATTCCTACCAACTGCAAGAGCAGATTAAGTTAATTGCCCTGATACCCTATAACCCCTTGAAAATGACCAGATCATTAGAAAACGAAGATGAGAACGGGCGGCTGAGAAACAGGCTGCACGCTCCCCGCTCGTGCACACGAGCTGGCGGCAGGCAGGGTGCAGGGCAGGTGATCCCCTCTCCCCCGCACCGAAAAGGTAACTCGGGGTCACCGGGAGCGAGTCTGGGGAAGCATCCGAGGGGAGCGGCTCAAGCACTCGGGGCTCCCCGTTAATCCTACACTTAGCTCAGAAGGTAGAAGTGATGCTCAGTGGTCCCTCAGGACGTTCTGGGGGATCACAGCGATCGGCAGACACACTCGCCCGTCTCCTGGCCGCCCGGGCATCTGGGGGTGACCTTGGGCAGCAGTGCCTCAGCCAGTGGTTCTCTGTGGGCAGGGCTGTGCGACGGGCCCCTTCCTGCACTCTCCTGTAGGAATCACTCCGGGTTGCCTTCTGGCTTTCTTACGATGCATAGTTACTTTCCAGCCCGCGGACCTTGTAAGCACAGCTCCTCACACGAGGACAGGCGCACACGAGCGGCTGACAGGTGACCCTGCCCCGCAGCCTCTGAAGAGGAAGGCTCAAGGCCCAAGAAAAAAACGAACCCGTGAGCCTCCACATTCTCCCCAAGTGAGGCTCTTTGGACGCTGGGTTCCCGGAGGCCCGGCCCTCCTCTCTCCACGGCCCTTCTTGTCTCCTGTCATAGGGATGGATCATGAGGGTTACTGGGGAGCTCCCTGGTGGCCCAGTGGTTAGGACTCGGTGCTTTCACTGCCGAGGGCCCGGGTTCGATCCCTGGCCCGGGAACTAAGATCCCACGAGCTGCACAGCGCGGCCAAAAAAAAAAAGCGTTACTGAATTAATACATAGTGTTAAAATAATACGATATGCTCAAGGTGATTAGAACAGACCTAAAGGTAAATCCTGGAGTAAAATATGACTTACATAAATGAGGTCTGAAATGGGAGCATAAAAGGCTAAAAACAAGAAAACGACAGTTAAGACATTTAAAAAGCCCAAATGAAGGATTCTGAATGTTTAAGCAGTAAAATAAGTAGTTTTAATTTTTTCATGGTTGGGGGTTAATTCAGTGGGGCCAGGTGACCCAGGTGGGTCCTCTAAAGCACCCCCATTCTGGTCCCATTCGGGAAGGGGTTGACCCAGAAGACCTTCAGTCATCTGCCCAGGGCTCTTGGAAGTAACGGGCAGCTTTGGTGGTTTTCAGGGTGCATCCAAGAAGGGAGCAAAGCTAGAGCCTGCTGGGCGCTCGGCCTGGAGCCCAGCACTAAGTGCCTGAGGACTCACCTCTGTGCGGACCTCACACCCCTCCCCCACTGAAGCCCGGGAAGCATGGGGCTCCTCACAGGTTAACACCGGGGCGCAAGCCCCCGACCAGCCTGGAACTTCCACCATGCGTGCGTGTGCGTGCGTGTGCGTGCGTGTGCGTGTCTGTCTCCGTGTTCTCTCTCAGCCTGCTGGCCAGATCCTAGACACCCCACCCCATCCAGGCACGTGGGTGGACGTGGCAGCTGCAGCCCATCGTGAAGCAGAGACAGATCTAGACCGTGTTCCATAAACAACCAGAGAGGCGTCCTGTCCCTTCTCCTTTCCCTCACCCCGTGTCTCCCCCGGCCCCCGAAAAGGACACCTCCCAACTAGCAATGGGAACAAAAGGATTTTGCTGAGAAATCCGTTCCCAAAGAAGCATCTTTCAGCCTGCGAGCAAACGTCTGGTTGTGCACACTTGCGTCCATCAAAAACCCCATTACATGTTCTCCTTGTTTATACCTTGAAAACAGAAACACAGGAGCAACTCTCTGAAAGTGGAGGGTAAGAGTGAAGTCGTGACCTTCTAGAAGGAGTTGGCAGCTCAGGCGGCGGGGACCAGTCCAGGCTGTGCTCTGTGTGTGGGGCTGAAGGGCAGGGCACCTTCCCGGATGCAGCTCAGGGCTGCTGTGGGATGCGCCCCTGAGGCCAGGCACCTCGGCCCCTGCCCCCTAATGGGCCCAGAGTCAGACCCCTGAGAACAGCTTCTCGGGGTGTTAACAATAATGTCCTAAATTGTGTGCAGGGCTTTCAAATTTAATGAACTCGTTTATCTCAGGCCGGTGTCCAGGGTCCACACCCGGAGATCAGGAGCCAGCAGGCCCTTCTCCCTCCTGAGCCTCAGCCTGAGGGCTAGCCCACCATAAAGGGGGTAACTGAGCCTCAGTCTTCCCCTGGACCTGGGGGGCCACTGCCCCTGGGCTCCTTTGCTCAAATACACGTGGGCAGAGAGCAGCCTTGGGCACAGGCAAGGTCTCTCGCCTTCAGCGGGCAGTGCTGGGTAAGCGTGCGCAGGGTCAGCCCCTGGAGGCTACCTTAGGACACACACGGCTGATTCAAAACAAACAAAACCTCCATCCTCAAAATCCAGAACACCTCCGTGATAACAGGTGTGAATTAGTAGTTAATCTGCAGCCAGAGATGGTTCCGGGCAGGAGAACACCCAGAGTCCTCGCTGGGTGGGAGTCCACTCTGGCGGTGCCCGGACCTTGCCAGGCCTGTGCCGTGTACCCTCCACTTGGTCCCGTTGCCCTCTCCTGCCACAGCGTTGCTCCTGTGTTACCAAGACCCAGAATGCCGGGCGTCTTTTTCGGAGACTCATTACAGCTTATCTCTGTCTGCCTTTCTTTAAAGCCAGCTGAACATACCCAATGCTCTCCCTTTATGGTAAGACCGAGCCTCCAGACCACGCTCTCAGCTTCTGTGACCCCCTCTAACATACCCACTTCCCCCACCCGACCCCCAGCATCTTGGAACCCAGCCCCCGACGCATGTTGCCCGTGTCTGCCATGCACCTCGCCTGCCTGGTCTGTAGCTGTCGAGTGCTGTTGGTGCGACATTTCTGTCCTCGAGCTTTCCTGTGGGTGGCAGTTCACCATGACCTTGACTGTCTAATGAGCCACTGGGAGAGAATCGGACCCGAGGGCCATTTCCTGTTAAACGTCCTGAGGACTCCACTGGCTGACGTCCCCACACTAAATCTGTCGTGGGGTTTGCACGGGGCACCCACGAGCGCCATGGTGAGGCCTCTGGGAAAGAGGAAGGAGAGGTGACATAGCCAGAGACGGGGAGGTCCTCCTAGTCACCAGGCCGCCCTCCAGCTCTGAGTCAAGGCCCCAGTAAGCGGTGAAGCTGGGTTCATTACCCAGAGAGTGGTTGGATTTCCTATCACCCCGACAGTGTTACCTGTGAGGGGCATGAAAACTAGGCCACACCTAGTTTCTTCACTGCAGCAGACCGTCCGGTGGGAGCCGCTTCTGCTCTAGGATACTTTGGCTAAAGTGATAGAGAGGCCGACCAGTGTGACCTTGGAGTCTCCTTGGAACAGCTTTCTCCAAGAGGCTGCTGTCACAGACTTCAAACGTGGGCCAGGCGTGAGTTTTTAGGAGGGCCAGTGAGTGGGTTGATTCCCCGAGCCCCAGAGGTCAGCAGACAGAGGCAAGATCGGTGGGGATGTTTCCTGACGAAGCCCACGACCATAGCCGGAAGGGCTGAGCCTGGACGTGCTGCCCATGTGTCACCGGTCAGTGGAGCATAAGGCACCTGCAGCATCTGGAGGGCTCTGAACCCAGGACGAACTCAGACTGGAGGCTTGCGTTTTGCTTTTTAACGAGTCAGATGCAGATGCCTCTGCGGCGCCAACCTCCCAGACTCTTGGTGCCCAGCTGAGTTCCATGTAAGCTGGCGGTCTCTTCTGTCTCCCTTCCCGAGCACAGTGGGGCTGATGGCCGAGTTCCAAGGCCCTGAGCCTCCTCTGCCCTTCCTCTGGGGAAGCACCACCTCCTTTGAAGGAGAGAAAGTAGAATTTCAAGTAGGTACACGGGTGACAGAAATGCAGAGATGAAGGGCATCAAAGACTTCAAAATGCAGACAGGTAGGGCCCGGGGGCCAGACGGCCTGCTGTCGGGGCCCCCCCAGCCCCTGTGGCCCCCAGCCACCAGCCCGCCCCGGGAGGAGCAGGGTGTGCTGGCGCGTGTAAAACCCGGCCCCCTCGGGGCGCTCCTTCTCTGATCGGGGTGAGGGGAGCGGCCCCTGGAGCCCCGGTCACAGGGTCAGAACCAGGAGCCGCGAGGGCTCCGGCGCTGGTGGGATTTTCGTGGGCGTGGCCAGGCCGGATCTGACCTGGAGACGGTCAGAAATGAAACCAGAGGAGCGGGAGTTGAGAATCGGGGCCCACATGGGGCCCAGCAACCACCCGGACGGAGGTGCCTCCGAGCAGGGGGCCTGCAGCAGGAGCCGTAACAGGAAACCCAAAGGTCCATTCTCTCCCGGTGCCCACGGGGCTGGGGGCTGCACTGGCTCTGGGGACCCGGCCAGCTCCCGGGCACCACCCCAGCTCTCTGGCCGGTGTGGGCAGGAGGGGGGGGGGGCGGGGGTCAGTTTGTGCTGTGACTGTTCCCAGATCTGGAGCAGAGGGGGCCAGGGCTGCGTGTCCGGCCCCCAACCCCCGGCCAGGCATGCGCCTGCCCCAGGCTCCCCCGGGCCCAGCAGCCCCGGCCCCCAGCCCGCTCCAGGACGCCCCTGGGGAGCCCACCCGCCCCGAGCAGGACCCCTCGGTCCTCTCACAGCAGGGAGACCCGTCCAGGGCTCACGCTCCACTGCCTGGGCCTCCACCCCTCCCAGGCCTGCGCAGCCAGCGGGCCCAGGGGAGAGGGGAGCGGAGGGGCAGCAGCGCCTGCGGCCCGGGCCCGTCCACAGCCGTGGGGGGAGGTGGCACACTGAGTGCTGGGGCTGGGCAGCCCCCGCCCCCCAGGACCTCCAGAGCGCCGGTGCCACTCGGGACGCCGGACCCTCGGCTGAGCCAAGCAGGAGGGCAGCAGGGGCACCAGGGCGGCTCTCGGCCTAGATTTCAGAGCAGATGGAATTTCTAGGGAATCACCTGCCGCCCCCACCCCCACCCCGCGGGGGGCGTAAGACCGGGGATGCTGGGGCAGAGGCTCGGGGCCTGGGCACGGCCGGGCGCCGCAGAAGCCTGGGGCTGGGCCTACCCGTGGGCGCCGGGAGAGTCGAGTGCAGCCGGCCCCCGCCGCCCGCCTGCGTGTTAACTGCTGTGTTAACGGCCCCAGAACGCAGAGGAGAACGCCCGCATCTCCATCACCTTCTTCCGCCTCTTCCGGGTCATGCGTCTGGTCAAGCTGCTGAGCCGTGGGGAGGGCATCCGGACGCTGCTGTGGACGTTCATCAAGTCCTTCCAGGTACCCCCCGGCCCCGCTCCCAGGCCCCGCCTGGGACGATGCTCCCAGCTGAGGGGAGGCTGCAAGCGTGCTGCTTTCTCCTCTCTTTTGTGGATTTGCCCCGAGAACTGGCTGCACACAGTGGTTTTGGGGTGGAAGAGGTTTGAAAGCCGCGGGCAGGGATGGCCCGATGACCTCTAGAGCCGCTCCCAGTTCGGGTGTTGTCAGCCCGGGGCTGGCACCCTCATCCCGGCAGTGGGTTAGCAG